TATTATTTTTAGAAAACTGATTTCAATTTTCGTTACATATCACTTAATAATGATCCAGATAATATTGCAGTCGGACAATTATGTAAAACTAAAATGTTTGGATTTATTTGCATTCAATCAATGAACTTTATACAAGGAATGTACAATCCTCTCCATATAGTACGTATTATAATATAACATCTCATATTATGAGAATAATTTACCTACACATTTTTAAAAACTTAAATATTTCAAATAAATTTTTCCTTTTAATTCCAAAAATAAATGTTTGTCTTTGTTTAGGAACCAGTTATAGATGTGTTTACAACTTATCCGCAACCCACATCATTGAAAACGATTAAACACTATTTTCAATTATTGCTATCAGGTAAATAGTAGTTATAAAAATTATAATGTGCTTATATAATTTTTCATTTGTAATACATAAAATATTATAATTAAGTTGGAACTAACAATATATTTTGTTGTTATTTCCATAGGTCGTTTTACTAATTTTGATTATGGACCAATTGGAAACATGCGGCATTACCATTCTAAACAAGTTCCAGAGTATGATATAAAAAAAATTACTGCTCCTGCTATAATTTTGTACTCGAAACGGGATAATCTTGTACCTCCTCAGGTAAATAAATATAATAATCAAATAACATAAAAATATATGTATTGTTTATATTTTCATCGATAATAATTGCAAGTAAGAGTCTTTTATTGGGTAATAATTCAATCCTTTAATATTTAGATTGAAGTATAGTAATAATTTTATATATAATTGAATAAAAAAAAAATCCTTAAGTCACAATAACATAAATGGTGTATTATTATGGTTACACATGCAATGGGTTATATATATTGCACGTATTTTACGTAGATAAGTGAACTCATATTATAATGTTATATTTTTTATATTTAATTTGTATATGTTATTTATTTATTTCAGGACATTAAATGGTTACTGAACAATTTACCAAATATTAAGAGCACGTTTTACATCGATAAAATACCCTTCAGTCACCAATCTTTTGCTATGGATAAAAAGGCACATTTAATTGTTGGTCCATACTTAGTGAAGCAATTATCATCATAACATAATGCTTAAAAAAAATTAAGTATATTATTAAATCCAATGTAAGACATAATCATCACGTATGAATATGTATTCAACTATATTTATATAAGAAACAGTTGATATTATATAGTAATATGAATATAATTATTAAGCAAGATAAGTTGCTAAAAAATTGTAATATTAATGCGTTTAAAAAAAAAAACCCAGATTATACTTGTAAAAAATGTATTAGTTACACTTTTTTTCAATAAATTGATTCATCAAAATATATTATTTATTTATTTTATAGATCATTTATTTAAATAATACACTAACAATCTAATATATATATCATAACATTGAAAAATATCTGATTAATGTGATAATTCATTTTATAATCATATATTTTGTTACAAGGCAACATTGTAAATTTTAATCAAATATCAACTTAATTATTACTGAAAAATGAATTATATTTACTATTATGTAGGGGTTATAACTTATATTATATATTTATTTTGTATGTAAATGGCATACAATTCTTTAAATAATAAATAATTACTTATTTTACATACGTTAACTTAAATAGTTATCTATTTAAGAAAGAAATTATTAATTTACTAAAATCCTTCTGACATAATATTATTATTATAAAAATTAGTTTAAGTAAAAAAAAAAATCTAACGATACTATAATGTACCTATTACTTTTTCTTACTTTATGAAATTGAAAACTTTACATTTTATATTTTATAATTATTGAAGTATGTATTAAGTATCTATATAATTGCATATAATAAGACGATCCATCAAAGGGCTTTGATTTTACTTGTCAAAGATCAAAAAATAAAATATAAAGAATATTGTATGAGATTTTCAAGCTTTTTAATCTTAGATCACATGAGTCAAAAACAACTAAAAAGTTAAAAATGTTCAAAGATCGATAGTAATACAAAAATTATATTGTAAATAGAGAATGCTTTTATAAATGATTACTGAACATTTCAATTATATATAGTTATTTATAGAAACTATAATAACAATATGTATTTCATTTAAACGTAGTTTATAAATATTACGGTTTTTCTTAGTTATTGTTAGCTTTTTCTAACTGTAAAAAAAATATTGGCGATGTAAAAATCTCAGAGTTCAATACACATTTTTCTACACTAAAAAAAATTATATGTCCAACACAAAAAACAAACTAGATATTGTCATGTATCCACTATTTGGTGATTTACCTTTATCAACATTTAAGTAACTAAAAGACCGCAAATTAATCGAATACAGTTAAGCTCTCAAGAAATCAATATTGCTATATCTAAGCTACCTTAACTGTTTAGACTATCAATCCTCAACGGTCATAAATTATCCGGTTACAGATTGGATTTAAGAAGTACGATAAAATTGTTTGGCTTCTCAAACAAAACAATATTTTAAATGGTAGGAAACACTTTTATTCAGATTATGAAACAAACATAAAATAAACTACTAAATAAATACATTTAGTCCGTACTACGATTGTCGCTTCTTACGTACAATCATCGTCTCTATACACGATTTCGTTCACAATGTAACTCCCCGTGCCTCCGTCTTATAATTATCAAATATTAATATCGTCTCAGCACAACTTGCTACGCTGGCCAGATCTATCATAGAAATTAATTGTTAAAAATATTCCCACCTATATTACATAATATATTTTGATTAATACTATACCGACGACTATATAAAATGTACGACAATATGTATAATCATTGCTTCCCTCAAAATCTAAGATATGTGTGTTAATATACATATATCTACTATTATACAACTAAAATATAAAATCACGTGATAAAATTAATTAAATTTTAAAAAAAAGTTTTTTTTTTTTTGATCATATTTGTTCAATATGAATCTTTGTCTGTCAAAAAAAAAAAAATTAATAAAATACTAAAAATATTAATATTTGGTAAACATTTCAGCCCCTATGGGTAATTCTTTACGAATTGGGTAACTACAATAAAAAGAAAAAGAAAATGTATTTTAAATTATTATCACGTAAATATATTTATTTTTTTATATATAGGCGAAAGGTAGGTACAGTTTTAAACCAGAATCATCATACATTTTAAATAATTAAGTCATTTTTTTATTAAATATCGTTGATAATAAAATAGTTTTTACGTCAATAGGTAATAATATATATAAAGTACATGAATCACAGATGATTATAAAATTATCAATTTTAAGCTATACGTTGAAAACAATTAACAGAATTATTTTAAAATGTATTTTTTTTCTGTTATCTGACTGCACATAATTGTTTCTTTATAGCTTTAAAATACTATAATAACTCATTAAGCATTATTTTTTTATTGAAACATTTTTGAAACACTAGCAGAGTAAAGTTTCTCGAAGTATGAAATTATTTTATGAAAAATTCCCTGGAAGTGTCACATGAAAATACGACCTATCCAACAAAATTGATTATTAAAGTATTTTCGTAAAACGTTTAGATATTTATTTAATATGATATTAGTCAATGAAAAAGAAAATGGATTCTTAGCGATTTTGTTTTCAAATGTTTAATATGTGCAATCGTTTAAAATAGATATGCCGTTAGTTGGTTTTATCTAAGTAGGTTTTTAAATGCTGTGGAGAGTGACTGATTGCAGCAACTACGTTACGTCAGCCAAACAATCAATTATTATATCAAACACATTATGTATAAATCGCTTGGTAAATATTAGGTACGCAAGTTTTGGTGATTCGTTTACTCAAGTGACAACCATAATATACTCATCTTCTTCAGAGCTCCTTATTCTCATACATATTTATTCCAGTATTCGTGTTTAAATGTGGTAAAAAAGTTAAAAAGTTAATAACAAATAAAAAATACAGTAAACAGTGAATGCTACTAGTTGTGCTCTGAACAATTGTAAATTATAGAATGATTGGGTAATTATAAAAAAATGTGTAATGTATACTTTTACAGGTATACTATAATAAATATAGTAAAATGGTAAAATTATCTACTATTTAAACGATATTTATGACCCGCATAATTCATTCATTGTTTACAATGTTTGGTAACGACAAAGGATGGTTTCTAGGAAATACTGACTGAAAACGATTCCAGATTAGACTCACGCACACTTATGTTCGTTTATATTTCACACACTTACAAGTCACTTTAATAACATCATGTTATGTTGCCTATATTAATTTCCTTAAAACACGACCTGCTGCAGTCTCCCTGAAAATTGCTCAAATATTACTTACTCAAGCATAATATTATTTTAGAACTTTATACAACAAAAGGTATAAAAAATGTAACGACCTAAATAAATTATTTGATCGTAACTTTTGTTGAGTGAACTTAAATGTTTGGCAACGAATGATAATTATCTCTAATATTTCTTTTTGTATCAAATAATTACCTTCATTAAGAACCAACATCTTCGTATAATCTTAACTTTAATTAATATCCATCTAATTGAATCAAAAAAACGAAACAATATGTGTTTTTATTATTTAACATTACAGCACTTAAATGGCTTATTAATTTCAACAGTTTTTATTTGATAATTTTATATTATACTTTAACGATCGTTTAATTAAGAATCTATCACCTTGAATTGTTGATATGACAGCGTATGAAATTAAACTTTGTTAATGAATGGCTTTGAAATCATTGCTACACTGTTATTTATTTTACTGCTTCATATTTTAATTACATCAAAAAATGAATTTTATTGCACGGTATCCATAATATTACACACATTTATACATTGACAATAATTTAGTGTACTCAATCTCTCGTGAATATCCAGCTAATACTATTTTTCATTTTTTGTACATAATTATAAATTGAATTCATAATCAAACAAATATTAAAATTAAACTAGTTAGAAACAAATGCTAGATTCCATTATTCTAGATTTTTACTTACATTAATTATTAGATATACAATGTGTATACATAAAACACCTTATGTATTAGCTTGTACTGTATTTTTATTATACTCGCAGTTACATTTAGTTTCCACTTTTTCAACTGTAAGTACTTTATATATTATTGCATTACTTATTTATATTAATGAATAATCTCTAACACTATGAATTCAAAACAAAAAATCAATTTAATACTTTTTTTTTATTAAACTGGTATCTATTTTTCAAAGGTGAGCAAGTTAATGAAAATATTTAACTCAAGTTAAATTAATTTAAAACTTAAAAGAGCACAAGGTCGATAAGTTAGAAGTTAATCGTTAACAAATTATAAATTTAACTCGATAAGTTAAAATTTAATATAGAAAAAAATATTACTCAGTATAAAAAAAGTTAATTTTTTTTTTAATTAATTCCTATGTAATTCACATAAAGAATAACTTATGTCTTTCTAATTTACTAAATTATAAAAAACAATTTTATTGAACTTTCATCGTGATATACATTGTACAGTATGAATAACCTTTAACGTTATATGATATATTATTTTTCAATTTAAACTAAACACATCTCAAATTAATAACTTAACAAATATTAATTTTTTTATATCATATAGCAATTGAAGATCATAAAATATTAAAATAATATAATTTATAATTCATAATTTTACTAAAAAAATTTTCAATATCATATCGTATTAGAGAATTATTTCGATAAATCGAAAAAGTTGATTTACATATTCAACATTTCTTAAATATTACATTCTGTTAGGATAAATAAATATTTCAATTATTTTATTTTATTTTAATTTAAGGCGGATCAAATTATTAGTAATGGATATCCAGTAGAAACGTATGAAGTTGAAACAAAAGACAATTACATGATAGGCTTGGAACGAATACCATACAGTAAAAATGGAAATAAAACAATCGGTAAACCAATTGTTCTTTTACATGGTTTATACGGGACTTCGATGTTTTATACGCTATCCAATAAATCTCTTAGTAAGTAAATTTTTTATAAGCTCTTAATACAATAATTAGATTATGTATAAGTTTATTCCACATAATGAATTGTAAATAGACACCAATTCAAACAGTCATATTGATTATAGGGTTTTTACAGAAATTTTAATTTTGAGCACACTGCAGTCTCTATCAATAGCAAAAATGTATTGGATATTTTTAGATGAGCTGTAAACATAATTGACTAATTTACTAACTATTAACTAGTCGCTTTAAAACCGTTTCAGCATTAAACTGAACGAATAATTATTCAAATATTTAAAAAAAATTTTCCTTCCAAATGCCACTTATTTCTTCTTCGGTATCATTGCCTCGCAGTAATTTTTGTCTTATATTATTTGATATAACATGTACATAGGTTAATCTTAATAGGTATCAATGCAATATGCAATTAATTTACTGATATATCTATTACGGAGTTAATTTTCAACTAATTTGGTAGATGAACATAAACTATTGCTGTAAATTACTTTTAAAGTCATTCATCTAATATTATATATTATAATATACCTAAATATTTGTAGTTTTTATATATTATACATATTTATATAAAATTGGTTAACACTCAAGTATACGTCGAGAATGAAATGTTGAAAGTCGATAATATACAATCATAATATTCAGCCTTACCAGTCAATTAAAAATATGTCGATAATAATTTTGGAGATTTATTAGCCCTATCAACACAAAATTATGCAGAACACTATAAAATTAAGAAAAAACAAACATTTTTATCACTAGTAATATAATATTTTAAAAGTCACAACTTTTAATTTAATTTTTTTTTAAATATTTATAATTTGAATTTATCCTAAATAATGCGATTTTTATCAAATTTTATGTAGTGATCATTAATTCTTTTTTGAGACAAAAATAAACAATTTGGAAATAATTTTAGTAATATTTAAGCATCCATTCAACGTGTTTCTATTTTTATAATTAATATTTCAATTTTACTAATTTAAAGCTTTAATTATAATGTAAGTATACCATATAAATATAATAATATAAGTTATAACCAATAGAAAATCAACTAAAATTATTGAATTTAGAATTTGTTTTTCTAAATGATTATCAAATATGTTTAACTGAACGATAAGGCAATGAATAATGTTAAATTAATAACATTAAATTACTTAATGCATCTGTGATGCAACGTACATCCGTGCGCACGCGATCACTTAATTTGATCCACCATATATGTATTAAAATTTAATTACATATTTGTTATTAGCGGCTGTGGAGTGTTTAATATAATATTTAAACGAAAAATGGCTAGGTATATAAAAAAACATACATCAGCACAGCACTTACACGATTCTGTTTCTCCAACATTATCACTTGAGCATTAAAAAAAAACTTAAAAATCCGAATCTATATATACATTATATGTTTAGACATTAGATCTTAAGGTGCATTTTGGAGTTATTGTAATCTTGTAACATAAAAATATACGCTTAAATCAAAAATTATTTAAATAATTTGTATTGTTATAACAATGTATACATTTTGTTTTTAAGGTTAAGACTAGGATTATATTATTATGTAGGTACAGCCATATAGATGTCAAAAATAATTTATACATATCCTTCTATACGCCCTATGCCATACGTTAAATGAATTATTTATTTATTTTGTTGACTAATTATGTAATATTTATCAAACATAGGTTTCATGTTATCCGATGCTGGTTTCGACGTTTGGTTGCTCAATTTTCGTCTAGCTGGGATTTCTAAATACATAAAAAATCCGAAAACTCATGAGGTAACTCCATTGAGAAATGCTTCATGGGATTTCAGGTATGTTTATTTTCTTATATTGGCGATATTTTAGTATATATTATACACAAAATTACAGAATCTCCGTCTGATTATTTTATGTGCATAATTTATAACCATGCATCCATGCTAACAAAATATATGCCAAATTATCAAATTATAAAAAAAAAAAACATATACTTAATGAATTCCATTCTTCAATATTATGTCTATCATTCATCGTGAGAACATATATAATTACAATATTTTTCATCAATAAACTATTCTTAACTATAGTTGTGTGATTCATCCTGTCAGTACAATGCTTTTATTTATTTTATTATTTAGCATATTTATTTAAATTATACGGTATAAATTATATGGTAACTAAAAAAATTATAATATTACAATTATTTTCAAAACTGATTACATATGAAATAATAATTAAATAAAAATTGAATTTATTCAAGCTTTGACGAATTGGGAATATATGATACGACAGCTGGTATTGATTTTATCTTAAACAAAACTGGATATTCTACACTACACATGGGTGGTTATTCTTTCGGAGCTACTATATGCCTGATTGCACTGGCCGAAAGACCAGAATACAATGAAAAAATTGACAAATTAGTATTAATAGTTCCAACGGCAAGAATGAAATACTATGACCGAAGACTTATTATTTTAAAGAGATTTCCATTTTTATTTCACGTAAGAAGAACCAAAATCGTTATTATTATAGATTTTTAAATATTTTGCTATATCAAAATGTAAAGTCCAAGAATATCTACATTTTTTCAAATTAATATATTATTTGAGTGTGTCTTTAGTTAAAATAAAATGTGTTTACTCGTCATTTCTATCAAATTTAATGACACATTCTACAAAGCTTATTTAATACATACCTGTCTTGTTGGTTTATCTAATTTCTCTACTATTTGTTAATTGAATAATAACTACATACTTAAAATATTATTAGAAAAGGTTCATTTAAGTGATGATATCATAGTAAATATTGTGTTATTTTTAAGAGAACTTTGAGAGGAAGAGAATATGTTCCTAAGATGAAACATCCAGATGAACAATGGTTTGGGCACCAATGTAAAAATAAAAAATACATGAAATTATTTTGTATTTTTGCAATGGATGTATTACAAGGCAATTATTTGGCGATAGATTACGTACGTAACAGATTATTTTAAATGATTTTAAAAATTTAGTTAATATATATATAAATGAATTATACAATACTAGATTCTAATCAATCCTTAATAATACATGTCAAAATTTTAGTATAAGAGAAACGTATTCATATTTTGTAAGTTGGTGCGGACTACGCAGACGATATTATAAAAACTTTTCATGCATAGTTACTTAGCTGCAGGTGACTGGTACCTATTACCTTATAGCCGTTTCAATTACAGACAAATAGCTAATACCTAAGCATCATGCACCTAATTGATTATAATTTTAGGAATTTTTGACATATTCATGTGTTATAAGTTAGCCATTCGGTATTCTGTATAGATGTTCATATTAATATATTTTAATATTTCATATAAAAGTCAATGAGTTATTTTCTGTATAGGTAGTTTTAATTATGAATGATTTTATACTTTTTAGTCAACTATAGATATCTTGAAAACGTATCCTCAGCCAACGTCAGTCAAAGTAATGACACATTATTATCAACTTATACTAGCTGGTAAGTATAACAATTGTTTTTTAGTTATACCATTTTCAAAAAATCATCAATTTACTTAACTTAAATAATACTTAATATAGAAGCAATCTATAGAAGCAATAAATTATATAATAAACATTACAGAAAGTAACATTATGACATTGACAATTGATTTTTGATTACATTTTTTTTTCAGATTATTTCCGAAAATATGATTATGGAAAAATCGGGAATATTAAACATTACCAATCTGAAACTCCACCAAATTATGATTTATCTCAAGTAACAGCTGCTACATATATTTATCATTCAAAATACGATGTTATAGCTCCACCAAAGGTAAGAAACAAGACGAGATGTACAAATATTTAATACATTTTTTAAATGTATCTAATTTTACAGCATTATTGTATATTAAAATCAAAAATTCTCTATTGCATTATTAAAATGTACAGCAGTTATAAAAACAATTTGTAGATAAACAAGTATCATTATTAACGCTTTCCAAGTATACTAAGATGTAGATAGGTACTCCAATATCTTTATATAGATGGCAAAAGTTTAAACTTAATTGTTTAGATCAATAGACTACTCATTAGAATAACCTAGATAGTAGATACCAAACAAATTTATGCTATTGAAAAGTAAAACATATATTATTACAGTGATTATGGAAATTCTGTAAGTAGAAGTAATATAATATGTACTGATATATAATCACTAAATAAGAGACCAAAGTAAGTCTACCGCTATTTAGAGGTTGCCACCCTATGAAGGTAGCCTTTAACAAAATACATAGATACATATACAACTGATGATAGGGGTTGATGAAACAGAATAACTACAACGAATAAAAATATTACAAACTTAAGGTAAAAAATATTTCTTCCTTCTTAAGACAGGAATCAAATTATTGCCTTAAAAAGTGTATTTGATTATTATAGTATCATATTGATAAATGATATAATATAATAGGACATGGAAAATACTATAATATTTGTAAGTACCTAGATATATTTTGTATTATATTATTTGAAATAAACAATATTATGTAATATGAAAATACCGAAACATAATATGTTTAAGTATAATAATGTATATACTATATAGGCATAATAATAAACTAATAACATAATTTTGAAATATGAAGTATTTTATTGAAAAAGCTACCCACCCACTACTTATTAATATAATTTATATATATATATATTTGTGTGTCTTATTTGTACATTTTTAGTTATTACAACATAAATAACAAACAAATATTTGTAATATCCAATATTTATAATTTTAAAAATGTAAATGTACCTACTATTTAAACCTAACTAGATACTCAATATTATTTTTTTTTTTTTTATAATTTTAGGATATAAAATGGTTAATACAAAGATTGCCGAATGTAAGAAACGTCACTATGGTGAAAAAATTCAGCCACATGGGTTTTGCCACTAGCCCATATTTGAGACCTATAAATATGTTAATAGTTAAGAATTTATTGGAAAATAAATAGTTAAATAAAATATTATATCATACTTAATTATTATAGAAACTAAAATAAATTTCACTATCAGATTTTGAGACACCGTTGTACACAATAATTGTTTATCTATAGTCTATAAGCTTAGTTATATGGAAAATAATAAAGTTGTATACCTAACATTGAAACATTTTTTATAGCTAATATATATTTAATATGCTAATAAACATCTGTTCGTTATTTATATTATTGTAACTTTTTATAAACCGAGACGATTTTTAAGGTTTTGTATAATATAATTTTCCGTTCAAAAATTTCGATTCGTTGTTCATGGTAGAAACGCGCGTTGTAACGTTTCAATTTCAAACAATTCAAACCCAAAACACTACACTGTTGACGGATTTTTTCTGATAACTCGCAGTCTGTCGTTATCATATCTATCGTAACACAACAATATTGAATAATTTATTAATATAATAACATGGCAATTGCAATCCGTTGACCGTTGTAGAATTGTACGGTAGCGCCTTTTTAAAAACGACTAATGACGTTTTGCTTGTGACTTACGCAAGTACCTACTTGTTAGTTGTTATATTATTTAAGTTGCTTGTGATTATCTCGATTTATAATCGTACACGGTGCACGATGAACGTTGAAAGCAACGATGACAAATATTACCTGAGAAAGAAATCACGACGAGCCGACGAGTGCAAGTCCAACGATGGTAAGTCGACATTGACGATATTAATAGTTTTAATATACCCATTCAATCATGTGTTCAAATTCATATTATTGTAAGCAAATTTTTCGGAACAAAATATGTTAAGGCGAATTATGTGTCTAGTAATACACAAATACACTGATTCCGAATTTATTGTTAGTTGATTTTTAATTTTTGCGTTACAGTTTGACATCAATGGAGAAATTTAGATTTTAAAGGGGTTCACATTTTTTTCGATATTAAAATATCTTTAGGTATTTATTCTTTTCATTGTAAACTAATAGGTTTATCTGAATCTATACCATGGGTACAATACAATGAGTTATTTTCGTCTTTTGATGTGTTTACTTAAATGAAAGGATGTCTAAGTCTAATGACATTAAATTTTAAAATATAATATATACATAGATGTAAATTACTCAGATAGATGATTCTACCTAAGTAGCAAATTGTGGTAGTTGGAAGTTAGAATTGATTAATTATAGTAATAACTACTCCTAAAATGTATGCTTACCCTAATATTTTCACCCACAGGTTTCAATACTTGTGTATGCAGAAATATATGTATATATATTTTTAAAATCAATAAAATATAATTATTTGTTTAAAATTAACAATGATTTTAGTGTTCATACTTAACTCTTGACAAAGTTAAAATTAACTTTTGATTCTTTAGCATATGATATGTAACTAGTTAAATTATTCCTATATTTCTATATTCATCTTAGTGTTTAGTTCAGAATATTTATTTTAACACATCTTAATTGAGTTAAATTTTATTTTTTTATCTAGTCATCATTAAAAGTAATTTAGTATATCTTCTAAAATAGTTAGTTGAATATTATACCCATAATTCTAAATTCAGATTACTACCTATTTAGTTCTGTTTTTACTCTTAATACAACACTGCACTATTGATTTTCCTGTCAAAAGCGTGATGACAACTATTAGGCCAATTGAATTTTTTATTGATAAAATAACTCATGTTTACGGGTGTGTTTAGATTCAATGTTTGCGGCGCAGACATATTTATCTGTTGATCAGAAAACAGACTGTGGTTCAACATCCATGATGGAAGACAAACAGTACTGGTGTGAGCAATGGGTTCTAGCTCATCGTGAAGGCAATGTTCCTGAAGAAAAAAAATATGTCGCTAAAAAATGTAATCACCCTTATTATTTTAGTTACTATTTGCTATTATCTACTATACCTAAACAAAAATTAAATTAATTTTATAATTTTATAATTAAGTTGCAATGGAATTATAAGATTATAAATAATTATATTGAAAATTGATTATAATATCCAAAAATGTTTAATAATATTGAATTGATTAAGTAGTTCTTGAGTAGTTCATTTCTTTCGATCAAAGTAAATTAACATACCTATTAATTACATGTATATTAATTGCCTAAAATAGGTGTTGTTACAAATAATTCAGATGACACAGAGTCATATAAGTCTAGCTTGGATTTAAATAACTTGAAAGAGTATAAGATGCAACAACCTAGAAAAAAAAAACTTGATTTGGATTGTGTAAAAATAAATTACTGTTGTAAATGGGCAGACTGTGATTACGAAATATCTTGTTTGACAAATTATCTTCAACATGTTGCCGAGCACGTAGATTATTTGTGGACTGAAGAATGGCAGAGCAATAAAGAAAGTATGTCACATTTTTTTTTTTTTATAGTGTACAATTTTGTAAACTAAGTATCATTTTCAGAATGGTTTTCATGTTTGTGGAGCAATTGTACATTCCAATCAAACTGCGAGGTGAAGTCTACAACTCATGTAAATTTCCACGCATATCACACACGGCTTAAATGTGTTGGCTTGAATGTTTTAAATCTCTGTGAAATACCTGTATGTATATTAAACTAGAAACTGCACATAAACAATTTTAATTTATTTAATAATTACTCTGTATTTCATTGTACTAAGGGATGCAAGTTAAACGGCGATGGTGCTAACATCTTACCAGATTTACCAAGCGAATTTGAATGTAATTGGAAAAATTGTGTTGATCGGTTTGAATGTATGCAATACTATGCATATCATGTGGCTAAGCATTTAGAAGAAACAAAATTCAAAAATTCTAACTTCGTCTGCCCTTGGACAGGTTTGTAAATATAAATGTGTTTTTAAATTGTTTATACCCACATAATTTATACACATAATTTTTATTAGATTGTACTTTACAATTTACTGCCCGATACCGACTAGTCGACCACTTAAAAAGCCATACTCAAGAAAAATCATGTGCTTGTCCTAATTGTGGTATTATGTTTGCCACTTACACTAAACTTAAAGATCACTGTAGACAATCAAATAAAGGTAAAATTTAAAGTTAATATAAATAGCATATTATAATTTTAAGATTTTCTTATTTTTCAGACAAAAGCAATCAATGTAAATGTTGTAAAAAAACATTTTCATGTGAACGACTTTTAAAACAGCATGTTCGCCTTCATATAAATTATTTTAAATGTCATCAGTGTGATGCATCATTTTCCAGAGCTATACAATTATCAACTCATATTCGTTACCGTCACTTAAATATAAAACCTTTTGGATGTCATTTGTGTGAATCTAAGTAAGTATAGCCATGACATCTTTTTTTTTACAATATGCTAAGTTTTAATTTATTTCTAGATTTGTACGTAAAGTAGATCTTACCACACACTTACGAAAACATGCATCAGGCCCATTATTCAAATGTTCAAAGGATGGCTGTGATTTTTCATGTCGAAGCGAGTACACAATGAGAAAGCATATAGGGGTAGAACATTACAATGCAGAAGAACTGTACAAATATTATTGTCATATGTGTGGTGATTTGTTTTTAAGAGGTTCATTTCTCACTAAACATTTAAAAACTGATCATAACTTCCATAAACCAGCTGGTTTAAAACGTTTCAGGTTTTTAATTTATTTATTATGTGCATTTATTTTTTAGTTATATTAAATTTATATGTATTATTTAATGTATAGGTACATTGAAGATGACGACGGGTATTATAAACTTCAAATGTCAAGATATGAATGCCTAGACATACAAGAACAAAAAAAAATTAAGTTGATCAATTCCAAAAAAGTGGTCGTCAGGAAAAAAAGTCAAACTATGTGCAATGTTAGTTTATTATTTATACTTATCAATATATTTTAAATGGTTTTTAAATAATAATTACTTAATTTTAGGATAAGCAAGCAATAGAATTTGTTGTTGATATTTTATCAAATACAAGCGATGATGAAGACAATGATGATATTGAATAATTTAAGATAACATTTATTTATCATTATTATGTAATATTTTAGATAAATTAAAAGAAAATTATTTATTAGGATTTAGTTACCGCGTTTATATGCAGCAGTTAATGTACATAAAGTTAGTCCAAAAGTTGGATGTATTTATATTTACTCAATAGGCATTAACTACTTTCTACTGCGTATAAACGTGGTAAGTGTTAACTTAAAAATTATATTTATTAAGATTTTTAACATGATGATATTGACTGTCATAAAATAATTACCATTTTTTTTTTTGATAATTTATATTATATTTGTAGATTTACTGATGAATGTGGAAAATGACTATATTTATTAATCAGTGATAAAAATGTAATTGTGTGATAATATAGTATATACTGATTATAATTTATAATTTTTTTTTTTTTTTTTAATACTATAAACTGTTTTTTAAATGAAATTAATTTATAAGTATTATTACTTGTAAACAGGTAGTAATGCCTGGATTACAAAAAGTCATTGTTGATATTTCTTACAATTCAATTACATTTATACCTACAATCAGTAATGTCTGAGAATTAAAAAATAGTCATATATAGTGCTATATTGATATAACTATATTTAATCAATGACTATATTCTAAATTTAATAACAGTATTGTTTGTAAATTAAAACTCCAAATAAATATTTTAAGATTTAAATCTTAATTAAAATTATATGTCTATGATTGTATATAAATTTCTAATGTACTGTGAAAATAAACAATACTTTACTCTCTAGTTTATAGATACCTTATTTTTCAATATTTACTTTCAGTTTACAAATGTCTAGAATGAAGGATTACAAATTTAAAATTTTTAAATCCTTTTAGGTAAAAAAAATAATAAGCAGTATACTGAACAATACTTTAAATATATTATACTTTTATTTAATATATTTAATTTTTCTTCTAACAAGTATCTTAATGAGTAATTTAAAGCAATAAAAAAAATAACACTCTAAACATTGGGATAATACATGTCTCTGAATCGTTTTTTCCTAATTCTTCTGCCCTTATCTCTATCCTTGCGTTGTATGTAAGGTCCATAGTGGTCATCAAGTCTTCTCTCATTCAGTGGATCCTGATCAAGTTCAAAGAAACGTCTCCTGGCCTCAAAATACCTGGTCTCAAATTGAATCTTATAAATACGCTCCCAATCATAAACTTCGGGCACAAGACGATGTCTAGGTCTGTGAGATGTTAAGACTTTATGTCTATCATGTAACCATACCCTATAAAAATATATATTTATTTTATAATCTGTAAGTTTAATTTATTGTGAATACAACGTGTAATTCTAAATATCATATTGAGTATTTATTACAGTAAACTAAGGAAATTAATTAGTAATTGACATATTTTAATTTACCTTTTTGTAACATCGTCTATGTTTGCCACTACTTGTTCTTTACTAAGATATGGACACATTTCGTGATCTCGTGCTTTGGGGGTATTCACATAACAACTCAAAAGATCTTTTAACACATTATCATTCCAACCTGTGCATAATATATTTACAGTGTTTATTAGTGTTTTTATAACATTTAATTATTTATTACATACCAATAATGCCACTATCAGTGATGTCATGAAAAAGTTCTGTTTGTTTTGTTCCCCAACAAATATTACTGGGAGCAACTGGTCTGTTAAGGTCGTCTTGACTTTTAAAAAATCGCATAGTGTTTAACTGATACATGTAAAATGACCATGTCTTACCGTTTGTAATAATTGATTGATTAACAAAAGGATAAGTGATTTCATTATAAATTGTAAAACCTGCAAAATTTTTTTTTATATAAATTATCTAAAATATTGTTCATTAAAAAAAATTAGCATGAATTAATTCTATACTTAGAAAATAATGATGATTTCAGATCTTAACATAATCTTTAACTCTACCAATTTTACTCAATTCAATTCCAACTTTGAGAATGAATCAAGTTCCGTACTAACAAAAATAAAATAATTAATTTTTACCTTGATAAGAAGCTTGACCTATCAACCAAGCAAATGATGCTAGTATAGCTTGGGCATGGACAGCTTCTTGGTGTTCTAATTCACCAAAATTTGGTGGTCTATTTTCTAGGTACTCATTAGTGTGAATGGACAACAAACCAAATTTTTGCTGATCATTTGGCCAAAAACCTAAAATAATTTTTAATATTACAAGTATTTTATCAATTTTAAAACATTTTTTTATTATGCGATTAGTTACAAACCTGGTATACTGACACCATGTCTCCTTTCATATGGTAATTTATGATAAATTGTAGGATTATAGTCATAGTTAGGAATACCAATTTCTTTGAAAGCTGTTTTTGGAATATCAGCATTGGAAGATTCAGGAGTAGTTAGTGTCCAATGATCTAAGGGAACTGAGGGCAAAGGTAAATTATGTCGCACTTGAATTGTAGGTCGACCAAAATAATGAATCCATCTATCAACAGGATCTTTTAAATTTTCTTTGGGTACATTCTTTTTCTTTCTCATTTCTTCATCTTCTTTAGTAGCTGCAAATCCATGAACATTCCAGAATCCTTCTACTCGGGGTTCATAATCAATCTATTTAAAATTAACAATTTATTTTCATAAAATGATGATTTGATACAGGTATTAAAAATTAAATTAATAAAAACAAAATCATACTTGAGCTTCAAATAAATGTGGGTAATCTGCTGCCAAATTGGCTAAGAATATACGATTTACTTGTTCTGCAACACTTTTAGCCAATTCATCTGTAGATTTGGATTCAACATCTTCATCAGAATTTATTGCTTTACCTTTGCTTCTACAAAGTGATTTAATAATTTTTCAAATAAATAAATAAATATATATCATTATTTATGGTATATTATTATTACTCACCTATTTCTGCTGTATTCAAAAATCAAACTATCTTCTAGCTGAGGTTTTATACGGTTGATAAATTGTTGACAATCATCATTTGAAAGTCGATTAGGAAGAGAGTCTACTTCATATATTTTAGTTTTTGTTACTGTCTGAGCAAATGGCAAGAAATCATAAGGAAGTATTTTTTCTTTTACAACTAATGACTGCCAACCATAATATCTAAATAATCAAAAAATAAATGTTGACCAATATATAATGTAGTTATGTTTAATCAATCTATCAAACCTGGGCATATTGATGCCGATAGATTTTTCTTCAATGGTACCAAGGTTACGAATTTTTTCATGGTTGCTCAGTTCTTGACGTAACAACGTTGGCTCAGGTTGAATGTCTAAAATAGGTGGATACTCTGCACGACTCTCTTGACGATAAACATACGCAGATGCAAAGGATCGACCAAATACATTAGGAAAATTACGTTTGGGAATTCGAACGGTCAACATGGCTCTAGAAACAAATGTAAATGTATAATAATTTAAGCAAACATTAACGAAAATGCATGATATAAATATTTTTTGATAAATGGTTTTACTTACCATAGAGCCGATAATTTAATAGACTACCAAAAAATTATTAACGTATAACTTTTAAATCGAACTATACATGTTATTATTATTTAAATAATTTAAACAAATAAAATGTAAATGATTATAATGAAATAAAATATAAAATAAGTCCTCAGTTCTCACGTTGTAAATTGTAGAAATATTATCATTTTACACTTATCAGTTATCACTATAATCTAAACCAGGGTTACCGGGTATACTATCTAAGTTCCTAGATAGTACCACAATAGTACTATTGACGGCGTTAGAAGATAAAGTCGGACAACTAACGTTTACTATGTTGACCACATTTTGGAGGAGCGCTGCTTATAATAACGAATTGTAATAATATATTAATATCCATATTCCATGTTAGAAAACAAATTTGGTGGGCTTACACTTTACATTTTACATAAAATTTATTTTTGCATTAACACCACGAACGCAAATGTAAAACAATTAAAAATCATAGTGTGCGATATACTAATACTATGAAGGACTTTTCTAAAATTGTGTATTTTTACTCCCCTAAAGCTTATGCTTATGTCAGAATACTTTTTACACTCCTTTTCCCATCAACAATTTTAAGTTGGATTAGTTCTTTTGAATGTGAACCTAGCTTCTTAACTGAAGTATTTTCATTTTTAAAATTAGAGATTAAAGATAAAATGTGGTTAAATAATTGCTGCTTAATATTTGACTTAATGTCGATTAGAAAACAATTTATATGAGAGCCTTCTGAAGGGAAATATTCTGGGTATGTTGATTTTGGTATCGAAGAAAATCTCGATTTAACTAGCAAATTCTTAGTTTTTATGATTGTTTCTTTAATCTAGCGTTTTAAATGTCCTCTAGCTTTTTTTACATGCATAAAATTAATAGTAGTTTTTTAAGTACACTTAATTTCTGCTATAAAACCTTTGCATGAAATAGGAATATGGGTATGGACTGTACATGGAGTGTGACTTGCGATGGAGCTTCCACTAATGTACAATGCTTTAAGATTAAGAAGTAGGAAGTGATTTTGATGTACCTAAATAATATTGATAATTTTAGTTGTAAATTTACAGTAGAAAATAATTTAGAAGTTAATGTTATGTTTGATGCTTGTCACATGATAAAATTAGCTAGAAAGTAGAAATGTTTTGGCTGATTAAAAGATTACTTTTCAAGTCTGAAGAAGGTACCTAATAAAAATGGGATATACATAAATGCTTCGAATGATATTCAAAATTCTATCGGGTTTAAGTTTGCCAATAAATTAGCATCTCAGTGTATCAATTACAGAAATAGTATCATGAAAGTGAATTTGGCCGCACAAGTATTGAGCAGTGTGGAGTTGCAGATGCAATTTAGTATTTACAAAATAAAGGCGAGGAATAATATCAAAATAGTGAGGCAACCGTTTACTTCATCAGACAGATTGATCTCATTTTTAATGTATTAAATTCCAGAATACCTTTTTCTAAAGGTTTCAAGAGCCCAATAAACTCTGGAAACATAAATACAATTAAAGCAATGTTTATCAAACAATAAACAATTTAAAAAAATTAAAAACCCATGAAATACCTTTGTTATCTAGTGGTAGAAAAATGTTTGCTATTGGCTTTATAATAATTATGAAAAGCACCTCGTGTGTATTGTACTAGTTAGGTAGGTACTTAAAAAGTCACAGTCCACAGAAAATTGCTCTAACCTACAAAATGTCTCAAGACCACTTGGAGTTTTTTTTTTTGGTTATGTATGAGCTAGAGTGGTTCAATAACAACAATTCTTTTTCAGTTCAGTTTAAGAATACTCTGAGACAGTTATTATTCATAAAAAATATTACTGTTAAAAGTGGAAATTGTTTAAACTTAGATTTTCCAGAAAGAAATATTATAGAACTCCACTCTGAAAAGCGTAGGTTAATTAAACAAGCTAATATTGTAAACGAGAGTGAACTGGAAACGTATTTGTGTCAGTAGGACAGTATTAATTTAGGACATTATGTCAAATTGTCAACGATATGTTAGACTATATTGGTGAGTAGTGAGTACCTATATTGTAAGAAGTATACTAAATAAAATCATTTGTCCGGAATGGGAACATTAGCTAATTAAAAACAATTTTGATCATAAATATGGTCATTCAAATTTTACAAAATTTGTAAGTCTGGGGAAATTAATAAACATCTCTAATGCAGTTTTATTAATTATATAGCAACTAAAAAAGTCATTCCAGCCTCCAGATTATAATTTTAAAAGAACAAAACTCCATAATAAATCAAGATTATTTATTATTGAAAGCGCTAGAAAAAATATTAAATAAAAGTTAATATTTTTATTTTCCTAACTCTCATTTTACTAATGTAGTTTTTGGATCACTTATCTAATATCTATGAATACAACTTTTTTAAACTAATATGTCAAAAATGTATAAATATTAGAATGCCGCACTATAAAAGATAATATAATATGAAAGGAAAGGAGTGTTTAAATACCAAAATCTGTATCAAAAATTATTTTATTTAACAATGTGTAAGTTCAGTAATAGTACCTAATGTGAAACATAATTATTTATTTATTTTTATTTTTTTAATGTATAGTCATACAATGTTTAAAAACTAGAAATGTTTGACAATAATATTTGACTTAATTCATTTGAATAAATAAGAGTAATTATAAAATGTTATAAAAATAATATTAGTCTATACCAGTGTTTTTCAACCTGGGGATTGCCAACTTATTAATTAGGGTCGCTAACCTATGATTTAAAATTCAAATAGAAAATTTTAAAAGCTCAAATAATAAAATAAAGTAATGAAAAAAATAAAATCAATAAATATAAAACACTGTATTGTGTATAGTACTATTTAGTAATTAATAATAATCTGTGAGAGTATATAAAAAAAATATATGTAGGGGGTCGTTAAAAAATCAAAATTCAAAAGGGGGTCGCCACAGTAAAAAGGCTGAGAAACGCTGGTCTATATGCTTTCAGTGAAGAGTGAAGACTCCGCATCTAAGTGTTTTACTGCTAATAGGTGTATCTTGTATTCTTGCAGTACAGTTGAGGGAATAGTATCAATTGTAGGCCGTCGCCTGTCGTGCCCTAACCGTTTTTCTTTACGTCGAGGATATCCGATAATCGATATTGTGACTTGTGACTTGTGATTTATGTGAGTATGCAGACATGCAGTATGCACTCTCAACAGTCTCAACTTTAGTATTCTTATCTCGATGGCAGCGCTTCAACATAAAAGTGGTCATAATTGGAAATGTTTTGTGCGGGGAATTTGTCAATGCTTATCATCTAAGACCGCGATACTATCAGTCTATGGATACTAGCTTAATATTAAATCGTGGTCCTCCTTGTTCTAACCTAAAATTTATACCGAATTATGTTTTTAACATCTACAATTTCAAATTTACCTCTTTGAATGTTTGCTTTCTGTGCATAACAGCATGACATAAAGTAACTAATATCAGTCTTGGTTTGGTAGTTTGGTTGTGTTTAATGTTTATGTCAGATCTCTGGAGTATGTGATCAACGAATGTTATTTTATTATTTTAATAACATATTTATTTTATTAAATAACCTATTTTGACAAATAATATTGACTTTTAATTATTGTGAAGTGAGTTTTCAGTATTTATATTTAAAGTACAAGTACTTTTAGAAAAGTCATTTAATTTGTACAAATTATTATTTTCTAGTTTATATCATATGATGACGTTAAACCTTCTTTAAATTAACGGATAATTGTATTTTTATTTATAAATAAAATAATGCTGTTTCAAGAGCCTAAGAAGGCCAGTGAATATTTATAATGTGGATTTAAAATCATTTTAAAGTCAACATATAAATATAGTTTTCATTCACTGTCCGTGTCGTTGGTTATTTTTATGACGATTCGTTCATTTTTGAATTTTAATCATAGACATGTTTTTAAGAATTAAATACTTTGGTGTGTTATTGTTGTTTTACAGTTTTTTTTTTAATTTTATTGTATTTCAGTTGCTCAATTATATAAATAATGGATGAATTTGATGACGATTTATTTGATGATTTTGAAAAACCATCTACTACTTCTTTTTCTGCTGAAGTACAAAAACCCAATGATGATAAAACCAATTCTAACGATAAGTATGAACCATAGAACCTATTCAAGATTTTATTTTTATATTTTTAAATGTATAAAGTCAATTTATAAAACAAAGAAGTTGTTGTTTGACAGTAAAATTAAAAAATTTAAAAATGTTTTTATAAATATGCAAATTTTTTAAACAAAATTGATATATTTGAGCAATGTTGTGTTGAATCATTTCAAATTATTAGTCAGTGAAATATTTTTTAATTAGATCCAAAACTGGTCATCCTTAGTGTTTTAAGGATAGTTACAGGATTTAATATTTGTTTACAATTTAAAAGTTTTTCAGTTATGACTATCAAGTTAGAAATTTTATAAAGCTTCATATGTAATACAAATTGAAATAATCATCAATTCTGAGTTATAGTTTGCCATATTATGTTTTCACTGTTATAACTAATAACTATAATTAATAATTGATATCAAAAACATGAATTAAAATTTAAAGAATTGTTTATTATTAAAATGTATTTCTAGTTATTAATATATTTTTTTCTATTTGGTTAGCTCCACAAAACGGCCATTACAACTCTCTGACGATGAAGATGATAATTTAAAAAAGACCAAAACTCCAGATGAATTATCTGCTTTAGAGTAAGTTATATTAAAATTTATTACAGATATACAAATAACATTAAGATCAAATAATAAATTATCATTGTTATTATTGATAAAATTATTTAAATAATATTTAATAGCGATATGTTTTTAATTTTAATATCACTTAAATATGATCCTCCATAATATATTCCTTTATAATAACTATACTCTGTTCAACAAAAGAACATGCCATTTCAGTACATCCCTACACTACACTTTTTGTCATCAAACCTGTTCCACTCTAGGAAGTTATTGCTTGAAGATATGTAGAAAAAATTGATTTTCTTTTCACCATTCCATGTTTTCTTGCTGAACAAAACCAAGATAGGTTTTTAATCCATATATTTTATATTACTATCAAATCTTAAGTTATTATTAGATTAATTAGTTTATATTTATTTTTAATGATATGGAGAATCTAGGAATTGTACCAATGCGCAAATTTTTTTTACTTTTTCTTATATTAAAACTAGATAATAGATACTACATAATAAATATTAAGTATTATATACCACATGTGTGATATATTATTATTAAGAACTTGAATTTATGATACTATAATAAATCAATAATAAAAAATATAATGCAAATTTAAACAACATAAACAACTTTATCTTTCACAACTAAAATTATTTTTTTAATATAAGATATATATATATATATAAGTGATCATATAAGCACAAAATATCAAAATATAAATAATTTTCTAAAAATTAAATATGTGCTTAAAATTATAAATGTTTTTAGTAGATTTTGTAAAAACATACATTAAAATATTACATTCATATCTATGAAGGTACCAAGGTTATTATTGAAATTATTTTATTTAATATAAAATATAAATGAACAATTTATTTATAGTAAATTGTTTAAATTATCTTTAAATGATTTTAAATATTTTCCATTTACAAAATATGATGTCTTTAACAAAGATTTTGTAGTTTTCCGTTTTGATGGTATGAATTCCAAACATTTTGATACTATTTCTGTTAAATCAATTGGCCATTGCGGGAAATAGTTATTTAATGCCATACTAACATTTTTAAATGTACTATGTTTGATATACTTCATTGAAACAACTTTATTAATTTTCTTTATTTTCCTATTCAAATACTTTTGATCTGTAATTGATACTCCAAAATATTTAACAATTGATTGATATTGCTCTATAGATGTTTCCTTGGTGATTATCGGATAACCACTTATGCATTCTATAAATACTATACCTAATAGTTTTATAAATATTAATTAGTATTAAAGTATAATGTTTAGTTATTATATTTTACCCAAAGACCAAATATCTATTTCAGGCCCATATTTTTGTGTTCCAAGTAACATTTCTGGTGATTGATACCATATAGTACCCATTTCTGGTGTCATAATTGATTCTGCTTTAAATGGTAATGCACATAACATTTTTGAAACACCCAAATCACAAATTTGTATTAAGCCTTTTCTTGTTATCAGTATATTTTCTGGTTTAATATCTCTGTGCACAACATAATTTCTGTGCATGTAATCAATACCATTGATTATCTAAAAACTTAATTTTAATTTTACTATATTTTTTTAATAACTATAATTCTCACTTGTATCATAAATTCTTTTGTTAAATCATATCCCAGACCATTTGGATAATATTCATTAATGTATTGATATATATTATAATCAATGTACGGAAAAACAATGTACATAAAACTTTTAACACGGAAAATGTTTAAAAATCTTATTACATTTATGTTTTTATTAAGTATTTTAAGTATCATAAATTCACGTAATACTTTGGGCATATAAATATAGGAATCTGTTATTTTCTTTATTGCAACAATTTCATTTGTTTGCTGATCTTTACATTTCATCACTGTACCATACGAACCTTGGCCTATTATTTCAATGGGCTTGTATCTATTACTTTGTGAATAAACATTTTTATAAGTCATAATTACAATTTATAAAAATGTAAAACTTATCTATTTATCCAACAATTAATAAAGTTATAAACTAAATGTGTTTATCATATATAAATATTTATTATTAGGTATTTTGAAATATTTTATGTGATTAAATTGTCATAGTTATTATTAAATTGCAACCATGAAAAAAAAAAAAAGTAGCTTATTATTTATTTTATATTTGTATCTATATTATAATTTTAATTGTTTCAGTGTTGAAGTATCAGCTCCCAGGATAAAAATTTTTGCTGTAGAATCTCTTGATGGAGAATCATGTATACATGAAATTGCTCTACCATTTAATTTTGATTATATACCATTAAATCGAGATCCTAATAAAAAACCAGCTAAAGTGTATGAATTTGAATTGGATCCATTTCAAAAAGAAGCTATTGCTTGTATTGAAAATAATCAATCTGTTCTTGTATCAGCTCATACATCTGCTGGTAAAACTGTAGTTGCTGAGTAAGTTTATACTACTATGTGTATAATATTATAGCTGTAATATTGTATATTTTACTACCTAATTTGTATATTAAATTTTTATAGGTACAGTATAGCTTTGTCTCTAAGAGAATCAAAACGTGTAATTTATACTACACCTATAAAAGCATTAAGTAATCAAAAATATCGTGAATTTCACGAAGAGTTTGTTGACGTTGGTCTTATTACGGGTGATGTTACTATTAATCCATCAGCTAGTTGTCTTATCATGACAACAGAAGTAAATAGTTTATTCATTTTATTACCCATATATAGTATTCTATTTTATTTAAATATTTTTAAGTAGTTGGAGTTTCCTATGGTTAATCTCCCATCACCAGAGAATAATTATAAATGTATGTGAAATACTATATGTGTAGGATATGAGACAATATTTTAATTTTAACATGTTCACTATGGATGATGCTATATGGTGTTCATTATCATTGTTAGCATGTATTAAATGATGCCAATTAGCATCATCTACTTATTTTATTAAATGCACTTAAATTTGATCAGTGTTACAATTAAAATATTAATCTTTTGTTAAAATCTCCTCTTATAAATATGTGTATTTTAATTTTTTCAATTTTAAAATTTTTTTTTAATCCCTATTATTTCAGTTTCATAACAAATATAATTAATTATGTCACATAGTTAACATATTATATAAATTTTAAATTATGCATATTTTAAGTTAAAAAAAATATTAAATTTTTTATGCTATTAAAATTATTTTGATTTAGTTAGACACCATATGAAGTTCTATATAAATGATTAGTGGCGATCTTTAACTTTTTAGTACTTAACATTTTTCAAAGGTACTCTAATCTCACCAATAAAATAAATTCTCTTTATTCGTTTTATTTCTAGTTACTACTGTAAATATATAATATAAAAATTATATACAACTAAAGAATAAATCATTAATATGTGTAAATAATTGTAAAAATAAGTTTTAAAAATTTAAAATTAAAATTATCATTTAAAAAGCTGAAGATCGCCATTAAAAAAATAATATTTTATATAATTTATATAACATAATATTTATTTTAAATTACATTTTCTTTAAAACTAGATTCTTCGTTCTATGTTGTATCGTGGTTCAGAGATCTTGAAAGAAGTAGGATGGGTAATATTTGATGAAATTCATTACATGCGTGATAAAGAACGTGGTTATGTTTGGGAAGAGACTTTAATATTATTACCAGACAATGTGCGATTGGTGTTCTTATCTGCTACTATACCTAATGCTAGACAGTTTGCTGAATGGGTAGCTCATTTGCACAATCAACCATGCCATGTAGTATATACTGAATACAGGCCTACGCCATTACAACATTACTTATATCCTGCTGGTGGCGAGGGTTTACATCTTATTGTAGATGAAAATGTATGTTTGCCATATAATATGTTTAAATTAAGATTTTAATTAATTAAAATTATTTTAGAACAAATTTCGAGAAGAAAATTTTGCAGCAGCTATGAATGTTTTATCTAATGTTACTCAACCAGTTAAACATTATGGGCAGCCAAATCGTCCTACGGCTAACAATCCAGATAATGAATCTAATTGTTTCAAGTTAGTTAAAATGATTATGGAACGAAATTTTGCCCCAGTAATTGTATTTTCATTCAGTAAAAAGGATTGTGAAAATTATGCCATGCAAATGTCCAAATTAGATTTTACTTCAGGTGAATATAATAATTGTTACTAAGTAAATTATATTTTTTTTATCATCATGTGCTTAAAATTATAGTTAAATAAAAAACAATATTTATATAATATTCATGCAATCTTTTTAATGTTTGATAAGCTTAGTCTAGCTCAAAAATTTAAATCAATTGTTCTATACATTTTTTTTTATAAATTGTACTTAAATATTAATAATTTAAATACAAACATTAAAATGTTATAATATATTAATTACATTTTTCTAATAAATTATGTAGTTGGTGCCATTAAGTAAACTGGAGATATCCTTGCTACCATTGTCATATTCTTCATGGAGATATTTTAATTTATTATCTCTACTTTTATTTTTGATTTTAGTGATCCAATGTTACTCAAATTCATATCATATTATTTTTATCTCATTAACTGCATTTTGTGAATTTTGGATATTTTTAATTCAATTAAATTAATAATTATTTTATTTTATTGAATTCTTGTATTTTATTAATAATAATAAATACTGTTAAAAATTAAATTTTGTTAATATTGTTTCTTTTTAATATCAAAATATGTAAGTAAAAACCAACATATTAAGAAACACACTTGTGGAAATCTAGATTTTAAATATACTAACTTCTATAATAAATAGACCAATTAAAGGTTGAGGCCAGGAGTAGTTATTACTTCACATATAGCACATTGTATATTATACTATGAGCTTTGATTAAATTGTCATATTATTATCTCAAAAGTTATATTTGATTAAAAATAGAGTAAAAAGTTTTTATGGTTTATTTTGAATTCTTTTAAACTTATGTTTTATTCTTTTATAGATACTGAAAAAGGGTTAATTGATAAATTATTTGAAAACGCTACAAAAGTATTATCAGAGGAAGATCGTAAATTACCAGCAGTCATAAATATAATACCATTAATTCGACGTGGCATAGGTATTCATCATGGAGGTAAATATCATTAGATTATAAATAATATTAATTTTTATATAATAAACAATGGTATGCTTATTTTTATATTATGTATTTCAGGTCTTTTACCGATCTTAAAAGAAACCATAGAGATTTTGTTTGGTGAAGGTTTACTGAAAGTTTTATATGCTACTGAAACATTTGCCATGGGTCTAAATATGCCTGCAAGAACAGTTTTATTTACTGCTTGTCGAAAATTTGATGGCAAAGAAAGACGATTTGTAAGTATTTTGATTATTGTTAAAAATATTTTTTTATTTTTAACTAAGCCCTCATCAGTTAAAATAATTGCTATAGATAACGTCAGGAGAATATATACAGATGTCTGGCCGAGCTGGTAGACGAGGTTTAGATGACAAAGGTATTGTTATGTTAATAATTGATGAGAAAGTTAGTCCAGATACTGTCAGAAATATTGTACAAGGAAAGCCTGATTCACTTAATTCAGCATTTCATTTAACATATAACATGGTTTTGAATTTAATGCGTGTAGAAGAAATTGATCCAGAATATATGTTAGAAAGGAGCTTTTTCCAATTTCAAAATCAATCTGTTATTCCAGAATTAGTAGAAAGTTAGTATTTAATATAATTTTTAAATTTATGATTAATTGTTTATGTTGTTATTTAAGACAATATAAGTATAGTATTAAAATTAAATCTCCATCCGTTTCTCAGGTTCTATAATAAGTATATATTTGTTTTATTGTTTGCAGAAGTAAAAGAATTATCAGTTGAAAAAAACAAAATAATAATAAATAATGAATTTGATGTAAGATCGTATTTTTTAATTCGTCAACAGTTAGAAGATTTAGCGAAACAATATCATTCTTTTATAACAGACCCAAAAAATTTAGTACCTTTTTGTAATCCAGGAAGACTTGTTAAGGTCAGTGTATTTTAATTTTAAGTAAACTATTGTTTATTAGTAAAATTTGATTTTAAATATATTTATAATTTCTTAAGCATCTAGATGGTTAACTTTCTAAATTATTATTATTTGGACTTTGAAAATTATTGTAGCCTAACTAGTCTTTTTTTTTTATGACTTACTAATATAGTTAATTCAATCAAAATTAAATATATTATTAATGAATTAATATAGCCATAGATATTATATAATATAATTTAATATATTATAATATGTTAATTTATTGTTTTTAAAATAATTTTAGATTAAGAAGAATGATGTAGATTTTGGTTGGGGTGTTATTGTTAATTTCAAATCTGTATTAAAAAGTAAACATGAAGGTGGCGGTATTGGCGAAGCAATATTAAATGTGCTATTAAATTTAGAACGATCTGTTGAAAATACAGAAGACGAGCCAATACCGTGTACTTCTGGAAAGTTAGGAGAACCTGAAATTATTAATGTCAGACATAACATGGTTGAAGATATAAGTTCTTTACGATTAAACAAAATGCCAAATGATTTGAAATCTCGTGATTCTCGAATGTTACTGTATAATAATGTAAAAGTAAGATATTCAATTCTCAAATAAAGTAGTTAACATTACTGTACTAGAAAAAAATATTAAAATTGCATATTTATAATTCCAATTAGGAAGTTTTACAAAGGTGTTCAACTGATATTCCTTTATTAGATCCAATTACTGACATGCACATCAAAGACCCAGAGTTTGATAAAGTTATTGAACAAATTGAAAAATTTGAAAGTAGACTATTTGCTCATCCATTACACGAAAAAGAAGATGTTGATGAACTTTATTCTTTATATTTGGAAAAAGATAAGGTACTAAACAATTTTCATTTTAATACATTTTTAATTTTTATTTAATTAAAGAATTTAAAAAAAAAAAAAATTATAACAGGTAGACCGTGAACTTTTAAAATTTAAAACTGAATTAAAAAAAGCCAAGTCACTTATGCAAATGGATGATCTCAAATGTAGAAAACGTATATTGAGACGAATGGGCTATTGTACTGCTGGAGAAGTTATAGAAACTAAAGGTAGAATAGCATGTGAATTAAGCAGGTAAATTACATTTGTAATAATAATTGTATTCAAATAATGAATTAACTATATTTTTATGTTTAAGTGCTGATGAGTTACTAATGACTGAATTAATGTTTAATGGCGTGTTTAATGACTTGTCAGTACCCCAGACAGTTGCATTACTCAGTTGTTTTGTTTGTGATGAAAAAAGTAACGAAATACCTGCAAAAACTGCTGAATTAGCGGGACCTTTAAGAAAAATGCAGGTAAATAATTAATTATATAATATGTATATCAGTATTTGAGAAGTTTTAAAATAATTTATAATAACAAGATGTAAAATTATTTTGAAGGAACTTGCAAGAAAAATTGCTAAAGTTTGTAAAGATGCTAAATTAGATATTGAAGAAGATGCTTATGTAGAAGGCTTTAAACCATTTTTAATGGATGTTTGTTATGAATGGTGTCGAGGTGCCACATTCTATCAAATATGTCAAATGACTGATATATTTGAAGGTAAATAGTGTTATTATTATTTATTTATAATATGATTTTTTAAGAGGCTTATGAATTTCAGGAAGCATAATACGAGCAATGAGACGTTTAGAAGAAATATTAAGACAATTAGTCCAAGCATCCAAAAGTATTGGTAACACTGACCTTGAAAATAAATTTAGTGAATCTGTCAAGATTGTTAAAAGAGATATTGTATTTGCAGCAAGTTTATATTTATAACAGTGTATTATAATTGTCTTAATCTTTTATTTTATTTTATTTTTTTATATCTCTGATGATACTGTTAACATACACCACTAAATAATACATACAATGATTGTAAATTTATTTTATTTTTATAAACTTCAACTGAATTTTTGATATTTTAGCATATCCTATCTTCTTCTAAGTTGTTGACTACAACTTGTTGTTCATTTGATTAAATACAATAATTAAATATAAATAATAAATAACGAACAACATTTCTGTATTTAAAGATACATCAGCTCATATAGAATAGTATTTTAAAGCACATAAAAGAAAAAAAAAGTAATTTTTTGTAAATACTAACTCAATTATGACAAACCATAGTGTTGTAAAAAATGTTTGTCCTATAGCTTCAATAAAATTTGAAAAATTAATTAGGAAGCGGCATATATTTAGTTTGGAAAATCTAACTTGCGAAATTATCTTAAATCAAACAATCTTTTATTGCTAACACAATTTAGATTTAGACTGAAACAGGGTCTTGATTAGGCAATTCCTTAAGTAATTAAAATATTCACTCAGTAATAGTAATAGATATTAAAGAAAATTGTGCTTTAACATAATTTAATTATTTTTAAGCCTTTGATACCGTCGACCATAACATAATATCAAAACTAAAAGCAATTCCTATAAGAACTCTGTTTTAAAATTTAATCAAATCTTATTTATCATCTAGAATTTAATTTGTGAATATTAATAGACCACTAAGCAAAGGTAAATACATCTCGTACAGAATCCTTCTTGGTACTCTGTTATCTCAGTTTCTATTTAACATGCACCTGAATTGCATTACCTCAATAATATTTAATGGTAAAATTGCTTGTTTTGCCAATGATACAGGTTTAAGTTTATTTGGAAACACCTGGAGAGAAGTTTTTCAGAAAATCTGGTTCGATATATTACCTTTAGTCTAAGGCTATTATTAAGAAATAGTCTGTTTTTGTATAACTTATTTTGCGATAGATCATACAAATAAATTAGCATGTAAAATAATATTGCTGTCTTTTACCTTCAAACAACTAAGACTTATTCTAAATTTCTAAACAATAGCTAAATAAGAATAACTCTCAAAACACTGGTAGGATCATTTCTTATGGTGCAGTTGCATAATGCTTAACTAATAAATCAAATCTGAATAAATTGCCAAAAATATTCTGAGATAAATCTTAAATAAAGGTCAAAATATTTCTATGAATGTAACATTATGTATGACTATCAAGGAATTTAATGTTCTGCCAGTTGATCATTTTTTTCTTAAAAAACAGCTATTACCTTAATACCATATAGTTATTAAATAACTTTTACCAATTTTTCATAATTTTAATACCAAATGTAAATTAAATAATATTATTACTCCTAAAGTACTTAAGTACATAAATCATCTATACAGTCTTCTTTTTTAAATGTTGGACCAAGTATTTTAAATAATCTTCCTTTAAAGATTTGTGTGATTAATTAAATTACAAAATATTTAAAATCAATTTTTTGAATTAGTTCTTGCAATAAAATGCGGATCGAACACCTTTATTGTTTTAATAAGTAAACTTTATGTAATAGAGATTATCTATAATATATAACAATTCAATTATATAAATATTTTTTCTCAATTTTACTATATTTTACATTATACTAATATAAAAGGTAATTCAATTAAAGAGTCACTTTGTCAAAAAATAAATTGTAAAAGAAAATTGTGTTCATGAGTCATAAGAAGACCTAGCTTAGTGGGGTTAATTACACATTATATCTTTATTTTGTAAATATCCAAATAAATCACAATAATAAAATTATAAGCACTTGTAACTTATGATTGATAATTGCTTACTCATATAAATTTTATTCATCAAATGTTGATATTTAATGATGGTTGTTGATTTAAATTGCAAGTATACGAACATGAAAAAGTCAGCTACTGTGAGACGCAAATCATACATGTTTTGGTCATTTAGTTTGAAGTTTTGAACAAAAAAAACCCAAATATTTCAATAAAAAAACTGCCATAAATTTCAAAATTTGTATGGGAAATTATAACCACTTTGTTTTAACGTCATATAGCAAACTTAAGACATTTCCCAGTCTTAAGAATAGACTTACTGTGGTTCTAAATAATTAAGTAGTGTCTAAGTTAATAGGTACAGTTGTTAATTGATAGAAAATTTTATGTTTTATCAAATAAATTTAGATAACATTAATTATTATAAAACTATAAATAAGAACACAAAAGAAATAACTTAAATTAAAGTATAATAATTAATTTATTCTATCTCGATTGACGATTTGTAATTAAAATATTTTGTAACAAAACATAATATTAATACAAAGCATACATTTTAAATTTAAACCATATAGAACTTTACAATTTTTATGTTTGATGTTAATATTATGACTACTAGGGTTTAAACTATCCATCACAATTGTATTTTATTTCATTAGAAACATGTTTAAAATTAGTTTTACAATTTTATATTTAAAAAAAAAAGTATATAAATAAAATATAATAATAGTACATTGATTTTAAATAATAATGAACAAATATTTTTGTATTAAATACCCCGAAAACAGTTGACACAAATTCAATGAATTAAAATTAGTCGATTTATTTAAATTATAATTCATCGTGTTCAGCATCTGTTACAGGTGCCGAAGGTCTCTCGTTGTGCTGTACACAAACGGCTGGCACAACAAAGTCCATAGCGTATTCACAACGATTTGGTTCTGTAGCTGAAAGCAATGCTGGCTCCAAGCCACAATTTAAACGTACCTATTTTTGACATTAAATATCAAATATTATATTTATTTTTAAAATTTAAAATACTAAACAAGTTGTTTAGTTTGATTCAAATATACATACATGAGTAGATCTTTGAGGACCATTCCAACAGTGTTGTCCTCTATCATATAACATAGTACGGTATTTTGGTTCACCTATCCAGCTGTTCCAAGTACCTAATCTTACTTCAGATCCACCATTTTTGGAACGTTGAGTTATCTACAGTAATTTAATTGGAAAAATGTATACTTTTAAATTCTTGTAAAACCATTATTATAATTTTAATAAAATGCATACTTGATCGAAAAGACATAATTTATACACATATTCACGGTCAGAAAGTTCATAACATTCTCCATCTAGAGCAGCAAACTCATCCTCTGGACCAAAATCTTTATTCAGTGATTCTTGTAAATGAGTTATTTCACGTTGTAAGTCTCTGAATTTCCTATCGGCTTCTTCAAATGCATTACGTGCTTGTTTGGCTTCTAAAATTAAAATTAAACAAATAAACAGTTATTGAAAAATAATAAATAAATACTAAGGTCCATAGGGTGATTGATTTTAGAAATGACACTCATTATTCAAAACTCTTACATTACTATTTAACTTGATCCCTTCATAGTTTAAGTGGAATTATAAAAAAATGTTATGGATTTATAAAATTAACTTGATGTTTATTGAACAGTTTATTAAGATAAATAATATATGTATATAGTTCTATCAAGTTAATTTAAAATAAAAGTGGCCATATAAAATATTTTAGGTGACATGTCTAAATTTTAGGCTTTTTTTGGCTTACAATAAAATATATTGTAGTTTTAAGAGTTATAAGTAATGAATAATCATAATTAAATGTTAAAATAACATTCTAAAATGTATTATGTTATCACTTGCCTTCAACTATTAATTTTGTTTCTTCATCATACTGTGATTCGTCGAGTTCTTCAGAATCTGTATATTTAACTTCATCTTCTACATGTTCACTTTCATCTTCATTTTCATCTTGATCTTGATCTTCTCCTTCATCAACTTGTCTATCACTATCAACATCAGCTGGAAGTTCGGTATCTTTAATATTCATGTTTTTAGCAAGTATTAGTTGCTTCAAACGACTCCAGCCATTTAAAATGAAATCTTCTAAATTAATTTCTTTCTTATTTTCCATAAAGTACTGAAAATAATTTATAATTTAATATTTCAATGTGAAATAAAAATAAATAATTGAAATCATTTATTATTGTTTTACTAAGGTATTAAAATATATTATTTTTTATTACATTATGAAAGTATGTATAATCAACATACAAAATTATTTTAAAAATGTATATAAAATATAGTAGAGTTAATAATGAGTCACAATAAATATATAAATATGACGTTCCACTCACAGCTTTCACAGCTAAAGAAGTTATTAATTAATTAAAGTTATATTCAAGAATATTAAATTATTTGTAAGAATTATTTTTGATGATAACTTAAAATGGATTTTAATAATTTATGCAAACTATTAGAAAAATATAAAAATATTTTATTTATTAGAAAGAAAATACAAAACAGAAGCAAACAAAATGGAAATAAATTAGCATTTGTTTTTAACGAAATTTTAATTATTGTTGATTGGTTTTTGTAACTATAATTTTTAAAATATAATAAAAGTACTTACATCTTTTTCGTCTTGTGAAATTGTACCATCATTGTTCTGATCAAAAGTAGCATATGTATCTACCTCTTCTTCTTCAATTCTATATAATATAACATTATAATTATTTTTCAAATATTATCCATTTTAAATTAAAAATTATACTTATTATTTTTATTTGTATCAATTTGATTAAATATTTCAAAAGCTTCATTCTGATCTTGCAGTTTTTCTTTTTCATTTTCTTGTCTTTTTTTTTCATCATTCATTATTTTATATTTTTCTAATGCAGACTTTTCAATTTCTTCTGCTGTTTCTTTAGTAAATAATGTATTATTTTTAGCAAGTTCTGCTTCTCTTTGTACTTCGAAAAGTTCAGTAATTCTATTCTATTGAGGGAAAATAAATTATTAGGTAACATGTTTTATATTTACTATTTAGTATTAAATTAAACAAAATAAAAATTTAACTAAAATGTATAGAATAAAAATAAACATGTAGTTAGATATAACTAAGTACCTTACTAAGTAAGGTAAGTCTTTAGGTCGTGGAAAAAAATCATGTTTAATGACAATATTATTGATACTCTTGATTAAACAATATCACAACAAACTGTAAATTATAAACCAATCATAGTACTAAGTTTACAGCAGTCAATGATGCAACACC